CCCTAGTAGTTTGGGGAGGGAAGGGTGCATGAGGACTGCAGTGATGATAAAGAAACGCATAAACCAGCAGGAGTCGGACATGCAATAAAGCACGCAAGGATAAAAATGGAATAAGTGTCAATGGGTTGCTAGGAAAAAAAATTCTGATGATGAGTTCAGTAGGACGAAATAAATGCTGTTGCTTAATCTGATTGTGTGGGCAGGCATTCACAATGAACCCTCCTTACTTCAAAAAGTACCCATTGTTAACTGTTAAATTTTCCACTATATGCATTTGTTTTTCTCACTATATGCACAAGTGGCATGTGCTGTATATGTAGGATTTGATCAGTTCCTACCAGTGGGACATGTCAATGCTATCAAGAGAGAAGTGGTTTACCCCTCGGGCGTGGCTGTGGGCGGCCCCTGCTACTCTGGGCCACTTCGCTGGCCTCTTCAAACCATCGGGACAGCATGTCTGACATCCTCTGCATGAGAGACACGTTGGGACTCTGCTCCCCTGAAAAAGTCAAAATGTCCCCTGAATGCAGGTCCATCAGGAAAGTGGCAAACTCCAAAAAGTCACCTTCAGACAACCTTTGAAGATGTGAAGAATGTGTTCTCCATCTGTATCTCACTAGGCATTGATCATGACAGAATTCACAAACTTAAATGCATAAATGAATGTTAACGTCTGAATGAATACTTATTTCGAAAAGAAAACTTAGTACAGTCTGTCCCAGTATCTTACCACTTGTGTCTAACTCATCTCCCCCTCAAAGCAAGTTCATTATTGTATCTCTGCCACATCTGAAAACAAGTATTTTATGGTAAATAAGGGTCCAAATGATACAAATTAATTTATTTTCTCTGCAATTATTACACACTCGCTACACAGACCTGGTTAAATGAGCAAAATCCAGACTAAAAATAAAGCATGAAAGTGTTTTGGGGCATATTCTTAAAAAGGGTAAAAGTATTACCATGCAAGTGGAGAAAAGATCTGTTTTTTTTATTAGGCTATTTTTCTTTATTAAGGCATGTGCTTGGGTAGGATCAGGAAACATTAAAAGACGGATCGATAATTCCTTTTGAAAATACGCACGCGATCATTATGTTGAAATTAGATTTAGCCAACTAGGAGCGACAGCTGGTGTGGGGAGAGATAAACACTGAAAACACCTGGACGGTTGATTTATTTATATATTTATTTATTTTTATGGGTGTCACACACAGTCAGGTTCTTTCAGGTCTTTCGGCGCCCATTCCTGCCTTCTTACCATCTCTCTCTCGTTCGCTCTCGGGCCGCGCTCTCGGCCCCGTGTCTGACCAGTCGCCCCGGAGTCTCAGGCGCTTCACCGGAGGTTGCCGCAGCTACACAGACAAAATAGACATCCTGTCAGGACTGATAAGTGCCAGCTATGGAGACCAGCGTGAAAGGAGCGCCAGGGCTAAAAGAACAAGACAGCGTGGAAAATCGTTTAGATTAAAACACAAAGAGAATGACAGACTATTCTCCTCCCACGGAACTGAACCACAGTTCCACTCTGAATATAAGATGTCATAAGAGATATTTGCGACATGGCAAGACAACGAATATTTCATAATAAGAGCATTTAAATTAAGTGAACATCTTGGCAAGCGTCTTTGCGTCATTGCTGTACTCTCTCCCTGGAGTGTCTTCTGGCAGAATTTTAACCATTTTCAGTGTCAGTGAATTAGACCTCGAAGATACTGAGGGGAATCTGCACAATTCTTGTTTGATTTTCTTCATAGAGCCTTTCAACTGATCACCTTTTTAATAATTACATAAACTCTCAAATAAGCCATTTCTAAAGATTTCTGAATTCTCTCCACGTGGGGAAAAAGAAAACAATATGCCACCTTCTCCAAGCAGAGGATCTTCTACAGTAGGTAGGTAGCCAAATATTACTCAGTCATTCTGCCCTCTCCCATTATTTTTTGCTTATCATAAAGACTGAAGAATCGCATTACACATGTCACACTCCAATAAGATCTCTCCTTCCAAACCTAGAAGTCTAAGAAAGAAGGGAAAAAGAAGTCACCTAAAATCCTTTGGGTTACCTGAATCATTTGGGGTGAAAACATAGCAGTCGCGTCAATGACATGATCTAACGCTAAAGACTGATATTGCCAACTGCCAAAGTTCATTGGTTCAAATGGAAACACTACTGCACAAATACATTGAGGTTCATCAGTCATACAGAAACGCTTGCAAGAAGAAACCTGAAAGACTTGTGAGGATGCATTTCACTACAAGATCAAGTGTGCACAATGAACCTTCTTACTGGATCACTTCACATCTGTGAACAGCTCTATGCACTTTAAAATCCAGTTAAAAATGTGTATCTAAAATTTGCAGCAAAGCATAATTTGCATCACACCTTAAATCTATATATAAATATGCATACAATTATAGCTTTTTTCAAATAAACCAATTAGTTAACTGTACTAATTTAAATAAAAGATCCCAGTATTTTGACTGTGATGGAACATTTATGCAGATATCTGGGTGGAAATCCTTTCCTTTTAAAAACTTGCTGAAAAATATCCCATAAAAAAGACCATTAATTATCCTAAACAGAACTGTCCAGACTAACAATGGCCTTTTTTAAAAAAAAAGTATTTTTTCATTCTGAAAGACAGATTAGATAAGACCACATACGTAATGCAATCTGATAGGCAGGGAGGCAAAAAAGGAAAGAGAAGGGAATGCTCCCCTTGGCTCGCATTGTGCTTGATTTCCAAGGCTATTTCAGTCAACACTAGCATCACATGCGCCTGTTGCTGTATTTGGAAAGGAATCTGAGATTAGGAAAGCCAGATGCAGCTGAACACATGCAGACACAGCTGAGGAACACAGTGTATGATCCAGCACATTTTGTCCAGGGCCTCAGAGTGAATATATAATGCTGCCTCATTCAAACGAGAAAAGAGAAGAAGACGGTAAAACCAAAAAGAAATCTTTCTTTAGAAACAGCGCATGGGACATGGGTAGTAAATGGGTATAAACAAAGATAGTCAAAATAGTCATAGTGAAAAATGTGACTCACAGCAAAGCCAGAATGTAAAGAGCAGAAGAGTCATGGTAAAGTATGACAACTCAGAAAGCCTCTGTAGTAGATATACTGTTTAGTGTTTTAAAGGACAGAAGGATTTCAGTCAACTCTATAATACACTTGATGCCCATGCAGGGAGTCTAGATTGGGAAGTGGTATTTATGTGGATCTTGAATCTAGTGAAGGTAATATGGGTATGAGTAGGAGCAGCAAGCAGCGCAGTACATTCCAGTCTAAAGCAAATAAAAGTATGGACCTCAGCATTCAACTGGGACAGAATAAGTCGAAACAGGGAATATGATTGGTAAGGTAAGGATGCCCTTGTAATATCCTGGACACTTTCCAAGACTCAAATTATACACCAAAGGATTTAACGTGGGCAACTGACCTAATGTCTGAGCAATCGATTACCATGCTAAAGACATCCTTTTTGAGTGGTTTGTATGAGCAAGTTCAAGAACATTCCACCTGTCTTGTCCCTGCTGAGTGGCAAGACATTTTGCTGCATCCCAGTTTCAAATCTGACAGGTAGCCTGAAGGAGGCTAGATCTAGATCTGTGTCTGTCTCAGCCTCCTCGCAAATCTAGGTGAAATTAGCACAAAGGTGGAAGGTAATACCAGTTTAGCATCTTGAAGTTGGAATTTCAATCAAACGCAGCTCTTGCTTATGAATGGTTTTGAGAAACAGATGCTGGAAAAACAGCACTCGGCGGCACTGCTGCAGGTACTCACCTCCTCTCTCCTCTCCTCAGAAGGCCCTTTCAGCTCACGGGCCTGGTCATCTTTGGGGTCAAACAGGTAGATGTAGTCGGAGGAATAGCTGACTAGGATCTCCTGGCCATCTCCACTATAGCACAGGGATGTCACGCGGCACGACTTGTTGGAGAGGTGCGCCGGGACAAAGCGCACACACATCCCCGTCGTTCCACGGCCCATGTAGTTACCTATCCAAAATACCGGAACAAACCCAAGTTTCAGGTCTTCAGTTTAATGTAATAGTCTCCATTTGTTAAAGTGAGGAGCCGTGTCAGTATGTGGGCGACAAAGGAACAATAAGAGGCTAATTCCCAGCTCAATAGCAAAAACAAAAAAACAAACATTTGCAAATCTTTGTTAAACTTCTAGATCTGTGATCTTCACAGGTGACTTTTAGTGACCGCTGTTCCCCCCCATTTGCAAACCAAATTTGTCTATTTGCGGCTGGGCAGTATGAGCAAAAACCCATGAATCTTCGCCTCACATATTAACTTCACCAGACCTGGATAAGCAGTAAAAGCACAGCTTGGTTTAACAAAGTTATCATGTTTACGTAGCAGTGCATCATGGGTTATGCTTTAGTATTTCAGTCGCCTTCTGGAAAGTGTTAGATGCACATTGTGTGTAGATCCTGTTATCAGAGCATTGCTTGCGAGTGTTGTGCTGCAAAATAACAGAAATGTTAAATTTGAAAAAAAAAAACCTATGTCCCCTAAGTCATCATATTCTTGGTTCTTGCAGAAAAGGATAGCTAAACAGAAGAGAAACAGACAAACCACAGGAGCAAAAGAGAAGATTGCTGAGTGAAAGGGAGTGAGTACAGTCAATATACTTTCTTGCCATTACTGTGCTATAATAAAATGTATTGCAGTACAGTAGTGCTGCATTTATAATGGTAATAAAAATGATTTAAATGATCTTTCCTTTGAAAAACATTTGAAAAATTATAAATACAAACACTTTTGTGAACAGTTGCAACATAAAATATTGCAACAGAAAACCATACCCTATTTTCCACATGGTATTAAGACCCACATTTGGAGACTAGCTATTGGCTGAGATTTCGAAGCACCTAGCCCTACCGAATATCAAAGTTTTATTTTTTATTTCTCCCTTTCAGCACAGGATTAACCCCTACTTTGTCCTAATTATTCCTGTTGTTCACATGCAGAATGATTGTCCAATGCCCTGAAATGCACAAAATATAAAAAGCTGTATTAAACTGAATCCCTTCAAGTGATCGCCTTTATTTCCAAAAGTATCTGTCAAAGCAGCACTAGAGGCTTCAACTGGCTCAAATGCTTTGTGTTCATCTTTCCTCTTGGCCAATCTTACTTCACACCCAAATTAAATTGTGATACAAGCCCTCAAACAGATAGGTTCAAAATACCAGTAAATTCAATCCCAGGCTACTTTAATGAAATCTGATCTCTAAACAGGAAACCATCACAGATAATTACTCTGGGAGGGAAAGGACACATAAAAGCAGCCATTATTGACTTGACTTTTTACTTCATTTATGTGAAGTAGGGAAAAAGACATTATTTGAAAACAGCCCAGTAGTGACACTGTTAACTCTTTTATGGCTATAATGCATAGCTATGAACTCTGTAATACAAATTCTTTAACAGATAGAAAGTGTTGTGAAACAAAGGGGAAAAAACACAGACTGAAATACTGAAAGTTCTGTGTTGAAACAACAGAGTATATGCATTGTTCAATTAATCTTTGAAATATGAAATTTGTGAACTAAGACCAGATTTTAGGCAATACAAAAATAAGCGTAAGTACCCCAAGAAGTGTGTGGAAAATATACTATTGACAAAAAACAACAACTGCTCACTGTGTGAGTTGCAAAATAAAGAGGAAAACAGAATTTTGGATTGCTCCTAGCCGAGACATTTAATCAATAATTCAAGCAGAATCCTCCAGAAAAGAAGACTCTCAGCAGAGGTCTTCCTGGAGCACTGTGCCAAGGGTTTCAGCTTAATGAACTCGGCTTACCTGTTGCTCTTGTGCCTAGCATTCTTCGGTCATATATTCTAACAGAGCTGTCTGAGCATCCCACTGCTAGGTAATAGGGGACCAAGGGACAGATTGAGATCGAGGTAGCAGCACGCCGACAATTAATGAGAATGTCCTGAATAAAAAAAAAACATGGAGATTGACTTACTGGCCTACTTAATTGACAACACGTTAACGGTAAGTGTGCAAAATTGCAAAAAGAAACAAAGACAATCTGAGTATTGCAGGTCAAAATGATCCTGTCAACAAATGGTTTTGTTGGAATATATTAAATAAAACGGGGGGGGGGGGGGATAATATTTTATTGATAACACAGGAAGAGCAACTATTTCAGCAGTAAAAAAGGTCAAATGGGGCTGTCACCATTTAGATTTTAAAAATGACTTACAACATTTCATAAACATGCTTAATTCACATAGCTGCAACTGTACCAATCAATGTAAAATGACTGCCCCTAGGAAGGGTTTCGGAATTCAGAAAAGATGAAAATCATACTCCAAATTCGGACACAGTGGTTAACGGCCACACACTGTCTCGTACAGAAGCTCAAGATCTTCACAAGACATACTATATGAATCATGACATAAATTGTATTTATTCCAGAAACAACATGCTGTAAAGCAGAGTAGGGTTTCAAAGAAATCGGCTTTATTTCTTCACAATTTTGCTTCGCCATGAGAGGGATAATAATATTGGCCATTACCAATATCTTTTACAGAGTTGAGCTTACAGATCTTAAAATGAAACGAGAAAAACAACTGCAGCAGAAAAATACATTGATAGTTTTTCTGAAGATATAACCTAGTTCTATGACATTATGCCAAAAAATGTATTAAGAATGCATCCAATTTCTCTGCTTGGAAACTTTACTTAAGAGGAATACATTTTCAGAACGTTTTGGAGTACTTTTGACCATCATAATTCTTTGTTAAGCCCATGCACATATATGAATGCTTTTGGAATAACAAAAATTGAGCAGTATTTACAGGCTCAATGACAAACTGGAAGGACTTTAAAAACATTTTTCATTAAACATGGAAGATAACACCACTCTGTTACTCCTCACTTATACAAAATGTTTACCGTACAGTCCAGTAACACACATCTAGAATCATTTTTGGGGTGCAACGTATTTTCCTCTACTGCTTTATATACATTAAACTAGAGCTAGTGCACATTAAAACTTTGGAAAATAACTTACATCTTTACATTCTTCTTTTGTGCAGCTGGTTTTCATTCTGACATCAAACCACCGAACAGTACCATCTTCCCCACAGGACAGGAAGGTGTAGGGGTCATTGAGTACTGTTATAATCTGCCGGTACAAGAAAAGTTACCAAATTGCAGGCATGTAACCATCAGAATCCTGACCAAACAACATCCCAAAAACATCAACTTGATTCGCTTATTCAGAATAACAATTACATCACAGAGTTCAAACACCCGAACACCATGATAAAATAATTTACTTCATAACCATGCCATGAGCTTGAGCTATATTCAGTTCTAAATGCACACTGCTCATAGTACTTTAATATCTATCTGCTATCTGCTATCTCCAAATCTTGAAAATGCATCTTTTTCTGCCACTGTATAAACTGACAATTCAAGTACCATGAAATGGTAAGCCAGCACACAGAAAGTAATACAGATGCTCCTTTATTATTACAAGTATTTATTAACTATGATTGACAACTATTCTGTATGTTACACAATTCCTTAATTGCTATATGTTCATAATTTCTTCTCTTAGGATTTAATGGTGTGTCTACCAGAACCCGTTACAGGGATATTAAAACTGTCACACACACGTGTGTGAAACCAGTAATATTAAAATAATAAGACAAAAAAAAATTAATGCCATTTTTCTACCATTATATAAACCAAAACTATTGTGCGTCTAGTTCATTATGCCAGTAGATAGCAGAAAAAGTTAAGTTGGCATTCCTGGAGTTCCACCGACTTTACCTTTGGTAATCCGGTGTGTCATGAGCTGCCTTACCTCATAGGCAGTTCCATAGTGGCAGGTGAATTGGCACTGCCTGTTAATCTCTGGGCTCTTCTCTGTGTTGGTATAGAATATGATTCCATCTCCTGAGCAGGAAACAATCTGTTGATCATTGGTTTGTGGCATAAACTTGGCACTGAATATGTTTGCCCTGTGCCCTGAACGAATGGTGGCCTTGACCTGCAGTGGGAAAAGTGAGAGCTTAAGGCAGAATTCAGTTTTCAAAAGCTTTATAATCACTCCTACATTTTGTCTTCCACGAACTTTTTCAGGACAGCTTAGCCTTCATCCCCTCTGCCTTTGAGTGGGACACAGGCATGCAAGAAAACACTTATGCTTCTTTCGTCAGTGCCAATCAAATGTGGATGGATGGATGGATTGGGAGATGGATCTTGCACAAATGCAATAACATATAATTGATAATCCTACATATAAATGTAAATCAATGCCTACATTTACAAATGAACAACTGTTTATTGTGGGACCATCCACAGCACTGGCAAAATATGAGAAGACTTGCAAGGGAACAAGGAAATCAAAATGCGCCACACAATTCCGCACTCCTACCAAACACACACTGCAAAAAAGGACTGCAATTACTGCAAGCTGGTTTAAGACCAACATGTCTGTCATCTGCTGTACAATTGTTAAATTCATGGCACCTATTCAGTTTACTGTTATGCCTTTAAAGCAGGCAAATTAATGAGGCAGTCAGATGTGAGCTATGGCTTTATTTATAAGGTTATAAAAACTGAAAGGAAATTTGCTAAAGACACTGTGGAATTAAGGTACTGAAGAGATTATATAGCAATGTAAACAAGGCAACATGGGCTTTATTCAGATAATTCTCATAGTATACATCTTGCCTTATGTACTAAGACATGTTCCATATATATATATAACATTTTACTAGCTTAACATGTATTGTCATAAGACAATGTGTCTTTGCAATAGTGCTGAAGCACTGAATTACAGAAGGTGTGGTTAGCAGGACATGCTGACCACTCAAGGGGTAGCATGGTCACATCTCATAGATAAATCAGACAGCAGCTCAGCAATTAAGTGGCTGTACATTAGTTACTAAACTTTAGTGTTCATTTAAATAGGAGCAGAAGATTTGGGAATGAAAAGGGTTAAAGCAGGCATGGGGATTCACAGAATAACCAACCTCAGACATATTCTTACTAGTGCTTTTGTGCAATACTATACATGCATCTGTATAGCAAAGTTTCCAAGCCCTAGGTACCCTATTGAATATGTTTTGCAAAGGGCAGCTATAAAAATAAGATAGAATGGGATGATAGAATTTATGCTCATAATTTTTAAGAGAAAAGTAATACATCCTTGTAGATGCTTGAATGAATAAAATGGAACAAAGACAACCCCAGCCTTGATTCAAGAAGGTCTGAATTTTTAAACAAAATCATACACTATACTGATAAAAAAACAACCTCAATTTAAGTGCATTTTATTTTCAAATAAAAACTATTTTGTGTTACAGAAATAATCAGCCTACCATCCCTTACCAATTGTACTTATTATTATTAATAATAAAAAAATATTAATAATAATAATAATAATAATAATAATAATAATAAATTGCTATTTTATTAAACCTGCGAACAGACTGTATTTGGTTTTGTGTTCTTTACGGTGGCAGCCATGCAGATAAATTACTGCTCAACCCTACACGATTGTACCACATGCTGATAAAATGTGAAAGCATAAAGGTTAAATATTATAATAGCTGTTGAGTTAGTACAGACTTTATTTGAACTAACAGCACAGCTGTTGTTTCTTTTAGCTATATTACACATAAAATCCAAGAACAATGTGCTTTAATACAATGATTTACAATGTCTGCAACTCTTTTCCCAAATATGCTGGAGTACTGTCAAAAATCAATTAATCATTTTTTTAATGTTAACACCAAAGCAATTGAAAATTAAGTAATAAGATGTACAAGACTGGTCTAAACTTTGAAGTATAATAGCCTAAAATGCAATCTAATCATAAAACATTGTCTAAAGGTACATTTTATGCTGTATTAATATTTTATAAATATCCTAATTTATGCTAATACAACCCCAGCTGCCAATGGTACCTGTTTTTTTTTTCTTTTAAAGGTTGCCTTCAAAGTTCACAGTGATGCAACTGTAAGTGCTGAAAATGACTAACAGTTCTACCAGATCTCATTACATGATGGGTGGGACCTTAACTGGCACAACTCTCACCCCATTAGCAAACTCTTGCAGAAACATCCAAAATGACATATTCAGCTAAGGTGAACTGCAAAGGAAACCGCAGGCACAAAGCATTCCCTAGCAAGCTACTAAGAGCACTGCACCTATTTAATAAACCTCGGCTACAATTCCAGCTTATCAGCACGCAGTGTTAACATTGTGCCTTGGCGAGCAATACAGGAAGTCCATTTTGAAATCAACTTATTTCAGTTCCCGGTGGTTTAGAAGAAACATGGTCTTTTTGGTAGAAAAATCATGTATTGTTTTCCAAAATATACAATTTACCATTCCTTACAATTACAAAAGTTATCGATTTTATTTAGATCTTGCTGTTCTTCTCAAGATTTCAAAATTACTCAGTAAATGATTTTGTGCGAGATTCACATGCTGTCGCACTGAAACTACCAAATCCACGTCTTTTTGTTTGCTAAGCCCTTTTATTCAGTCCATGTAGCTTCCATTATTCCTCCCAATCACCCAGCAAGTATCATGTCCTCTATCTCACCAATTTACTTTGAAAACAAATTCAATTTACAGCTAGTAATTCTGCCAAGGTCTAGCCATGTGCCAGGACACATGAACCCCACTGAGCAAATCTGGACTGCCCTCCTTTGAGTCCCGTGAAAGCAGACATGATTTGGCCCGGCTATTTATGGTTGCAGAACAAACAGCTGTTCTTTCCAAACATGGAGATCTATTTACTAGTTTCTCTATGTTCATGTCACTTACCTTTCTGTTGTAAGGGTTTGTTATCACTAAATTAGTATCATCGGATCCTGATAAGATGTATTCTCCTGTGTCATTCCAGCATATTGTATTTACCTGTTATTAAACATACAGAAAATGAATTTTCAAATATTTCACATAGATGAAATTCACATAGATGACAAGACAACTTGAAGTAAAATTAAAACATGTCCATTTCTGCAAAAACTAAACAAATATATTGCCAGGTGGATAAAATCTCAAAAAGCCTATATTAGATCCTGAACTGACTCAAGAATTTAAAAATAATATACAGGAGCCAGTTTCAAAAACACAGATATAAAGACCTACAAACTCATTACTTCAAAATAATTCCCTTGGAAGACGCATCACTAAGCATCTTAAAAATTACAGCAATCCTGAGATGCATATGGGACAAATCATGTGCAAAATAAACTGATGTTGGTGAAAAAAATCCATAGAAATAACAAGTTAACTTGTTTTTACTTAAACATCCACATAATTTGCATTTGGAAGAAAGACTCCCTCTGAGTGATCGTGTATTAAAGTCTCACATTTAACTATGTCAAAATTGAAATAAAGATCCACAGGCTATGGTTAGAAAATCTGCGGCACTGGTTTATGTCAGAAAAATTGGATCTAAAAAATGTTTTCTTCTAAAAAACACCTGGTAAAAATAGCACAAGAAACAAAGAACGGCAAACAGGAGACGAAAGTATGAAACCCGATTTATATTTACTTAAATATGGAGATGGGCCAGTTGCTGTCAATGCTCGCTGTCAAAACTTGCCAGTTGCTTGCATTTATAAAATGTAATTAAAATAAATATCAGTTAAACCTCCAAGTCGAATGTCCTTCTCAAGTTTATAGACTTTCATATGTTCCTATATGCAAACGACTACAAATTCTTGTATGATGTTTATTCGCTATGGTTAGCGACCTACAGCAAGGTATCCCTCTACCTTCTTTATTCTTTTGCAGGTTTTGGCTTCACGGCTCTCCTCCTGTTCTCCCTGAATGGTGATACTCTTTCTCCCATGCTACCCACAACTTCCAAGTTACTGTCTTTTTTTCTCCCACGCTTTATTTAATCTGCTGGTTTCCCTTTCTCCCTCACACCCGAAGAAGACTCCACAGCCGAAACACTGTGTCTATTTTCCTTTCAGCATGGAATAAACCTCGATCTTCTCCTTTACAGTGTGAATATGCATGCAGCGTGTATAAACAGAGACCATCACTCATCTCCTCATAGAAAGATGGCCTGAGCCAGTAACCACTGACAGGCTGGCCTGATGAGGAGGGGCAGCTGTGAAACCGACATCACCTTAGCCCTGGAAGGAGCTGTCTTAACCTATGTACTGAGCAGCATTCAACAAGTTTAGGTGTTTGTCAGAAATGCAATACAACTGGAGCGCTTTCTCAAAGTAGGAGTCTAAACCTGAAATGTTTGGGACCTGTTATGATCTTAATTTATCACCGCTTTTCACTATAAACAATAACTGGGTCATTAAGCGTGGGGATATACAGAAATGCCTAGCTGATTTTGTTTCTGATACAGTTTTTCTTTTACCTTTAACATCTTCTCTAATGAGAATGCATCTTTCTGGACATGGAGCATTGTTTTGGGGGAAAAAAAACATTATATTCCCACCATATCATCTAAAGTCCTATTCCCTAAGCATATTCTGTAAAGATTTTTTTTAAGTGTACTTGTTGATATTATGTCAGCATTCTAATTCCAGAAAGTCCCGTCTAAGTAAGAAATTGGAGATTAACTTGGCATTCATATTTTACTCTGCTAGCTTGGTTCATGCCAAATAGCTTTTCACAGAGGTCATTCCAAAGCAACTCAACCAGAGCCACAGGCCAACTGCTTCAAATTGTGCAAGACAAAAGCATTAACTGGGTGGTTTTGGGGCCCATGAAATTCTGAAATGCAAATAATTTAATAGACTCAAAACATCTCTCAGGGGAAGTTTGCTGGCAAATTCTGAAAGTGCTGGGCAACAAAATTTCAAGTTTATTGCCATGCGTACTTGAGTACAATGCAATGCTTGCTTGCATGTTTCCTCACTTGACAAATGACACAACAGAGGACACAAAAACGGCAGGACATGCCCCACAGGTATTAAAGCATACACAGGGGTTCATACTTACACAGCCATCATGCACATTAAGGGTTGCTTCAAGTTTTAATCTTTGGACAAACTCTCTTCTTCCTACGAACAAAGAAATAACACCAGTTACATAAATCCCTTTAACTTGTACTGAATAGCACAGTTCTTGTCAATCTCAAGCTCCGTTGTGCATAACACAAAACCCTAATAATCCCCATTATTCAAATAAGGCATTTCCTGGAGAGTGAAATGGGTAATGTTTGTTGTATCCTATTACTAGTGAATTACAATTACATAAACACTACATATTGTCTTCAAAGGCACAGAATAGCTAGCTACAATTTCCCCCTTAACTCAGTCATGTTATGTAATTTCTCACATCACCACCTTATCTTCTGTATAGTGGACCAGTCAGAAACTAATTTCCTACATACAACACTCAGGTGAGTGCTTACCACCTGTATAAATTATATCACCTACCACCTGGTGGACAAAGTCAAATCCACTAGTATATATGAAGCACTCTGTAATCTTGTTGAAACAGCAAAAACTGCTCCGAAGATGGTATATTAAATGAAAAAAAAACCCTGTACTGTGAGTTATGAACATCTACAAGCAACTGGGGGCAGTACATTGTTAACAAAACAAGAAGAAGCAGCATCCCAACGTTCACACAGAGAAATGCTTGACAATTAAAATGTTAAGACTTATATCTCTGCTTTGTTCAGTCCCAAACCTAAATAAAATACATTTTTTCTCTGACAAGTTGTCTCTTCACCTGCGGACCATTATAACTACGATCAGCACACACATCAGAGCCACTCATTTCAAGCAGAGGGCTGCAGGTTGTACAGTGTCTCGGCTTAAACACTTCTAAACCCACCCAGACAAAAGAAAAAATGAGGCCACCTCAGTCTCATCCCCTAGCTGTGATTGCTAGCATTAGAAACGAACATAGCACATTAATGGCCTAATAAAGCACAGAAGATGATTCAATGACGAGAAGAAAAATCAATCCCAGCACTTTATAATTGTTCCTAACACTTGCTTCTCCTGTACAGGTACAAGCTTAGACTCTTGATTTAAAGGATTGATTTTAATGTGGAAGGAACACCTCTTCAATCCAATTAAGTAATTCAATAAAACAGCTAGCAATCACTGCAGCGAACAATGTACTTTGTCCCATAGCAATTTCCCTGCAAGTACAGAGATAATCACAGAAGAGGAAAGGTAAACACAATATAATTCATTTCCAGATGCCATTTCCTTTTCTACTGCTCATCACTGATTTGAACACATACTATACTGTACCGAAAGGCTCACAATAGTCTATTCATCAGCAGTACATAAACTATCACTCTGGTCAGGTTAAGATGGAGTTGTATCCATCATTATATTTTCACCACTGTATTTTTCCAACTAAAATGTGAAATTCTCATCAGATACAGGAGATCTCTTAAATCTAAAGTCTCTTAAAACCAAGAGACCAAAAACCCCTATCCCCCCCTTAGTTCAAAGAAAGTGTTTAAGTAAATATTTAAAATTTGTTTTCAAAATCAAGTTTCTCTCTCTAGATAACAGAAGCATGGAACAGACATGTTTAAAATAATGTGAATCACCAATTGTTTTCTATTTTATACTCACTCAGTTTGGAACCATCAATTGCCGATTTACTGGGCTTAGCACTACAGTAACCACACAGGGAGTGAGCCCTGCCCACTATCCACCAACACAATCACAGTTAATGGCAGAGTCATTCATCATCTATCAGGCTGCAAAACGAGCTCCAGATTCTGTGCAGAAGAGCTAGCACTGACTGAAGAAGTGATGCATCTCTCACTGACCTTACTATAAGGAACAGTTGCATCAGAGGAAGTCCTGTATGACTCTGGCGTTAGATGTACCAAAAACAAAAGAGTCACTGCTTGGGAAATCCCAGAAAGAGCCCAGACTAATACTACTGAATGTGCACCCGGATCAAACACATGTACTGGTCAAGCCATTTGGAAAATTCAGTTAGGATGACATACAGGCTAATGTTTTAAGCAATAATGAAAAACGCTATCATTAGATGGTCATGAAATATAAATACACTGCAATACAATGAATTGGGTTCTAACATTTACAGTACTGTGCACTTGTCACAGTTTACCTAACAAAATGACCTAACTGAACAGAAGAGTCAGTGATACTGATGGCACTTATTGCAGCCCACAGCTCAAAATACAAATACTATTATACTGATTTACAACAAAAATTACTCCTGTGAAAACTCTCCTGTTGTATGCCAGAATTCTAGCTGAGACCTGCAACAGAAATGATGAGAAAGTGAATGGGGTTACGAGCCGAGTAGATCCGAGTTGTCCAGTTCATTCGCAACTACACAGGGAAAGAACCCTGAAAAATAAAAACGTAATTTCTCAAGATGATTAAGCAGAGGACTCTGAAAAAAGGTTAAAGATTTACAATACGCTCTTTACCTGAAGAACACTATTGCTAGTATTTAAAAAACGAATCAATGGCTTTGGCCCTAGTAGCAAGTGCTTAAATAACTCTGCTCTGGTAGTGGTCATCCTATGGGCAGCTCATCAGATGCGTTAGAGTGAGGCTCATCAATAACAGGCAAGAAAAGAAATACATGCTCTGTAATGGAACAATTTCCCAGCAGAAATAAGTGATCGTTTTCCATTCCACAGCATGTTTTCTCCTGAGGAGAGTTCCCATTACATTTTCAGTGTTGACTGCCTGCACAGCTCAGACAGGAGCTTGGTTTTAAGGCGCAGAAAGAATAAATGGGACTCCGAATGTGCAGTTCTATCACATGAAACATTTCCTGTGTTTATCACACAACCTGAATTGCTCTTTAACTTCAACACAATCAAAGCTATTGTGGTTAATGAATGCGTAATTTACTTCTGAAAAGAAAACCCACAGTCTTTCGTTAAAGTAGATCATAGCCACAGGAAAGTAATTTTTCACCCATTTTAAACAGAATTTAAAGTATGCAATGAAGTGCCAGTATGAAACATTAGATTGAACCACTTTACCTCCATTATCATTTAAAATGAATTTATTAATATTATTTGACACAGAATATATGAAAAAAACATATCAAGTTCACAATCTGAACATTTTATTCATCTGGAATATCTATTTTTTCAAGTATGTTCTGGGAAATTTCACAAAGTAACCCTTACTAACTACTGTATGACTCCAAAAAAAGACTTGATTAAAAAAAACACTAAAAATGGCACAATTCTGGGGGGCAAAACAAGGCTTAATCAGAAATTAAACATTCCCATAAATTGTGGTTATTGCCTCCTTGTGCAATGTTAAAGACAGAAAACCTATTCACTTGGAATCACTGTACCAGAGTAAATTACCATTTGATAACAAATGGTTACATAACAGCAACAGCATTGTTTAGCATGACATTCTCTGTAACCCAATATTTAGAGAATATTGCTAACAAGAAAATTAAAACATCTCTTTATTTGGTATAATCAATCAAACTGCAGACAAGTAAGCAGCAGGACACGAATACTGGAAATGCCAGTGCTGTGTACGAGACTGATACTCCTAACCAAACACGTCATCATCACTTTGAACATTAGGCCAGCTAAATAACAAGGCCCCCCTCTCTGCAGGAGTGCCGGCATCTAACAGGGTCACCTCCAGAGAACAAGTGGACGTTTTATAAAACGGGACCAAAAACTCGGCCCCCCACCTTAGAACTCCCTGCAATGCAAACGGCACAGTTCGGCAATCGGTCTTAGGTAAATCTTTTTACCCTTCATCTGGGTTCACATACCACAAATACTGACTCCATGCAGGCCCACAACTATATTTAGACTCCCCAGCAGCCCGTTTCCCTGATCTGGTTACAGCCACTTTTGTATGCATTTGCTCTATTAAAACTGACAGTTCCGAACAACAAACAGAAACACAAAGCAGAACCGCCGGCCGACTGTGATGAACATCTTAACTGCCCATTCCAGGGATTCGCCACCTTTCCCCAGGAGCAAGCTGCATTTTCTAGATGGTTGCTCACACTAGTGCACTGGCTGGTCTGGACACTAAAGAGACAGGTCTTAAAAACTGCAATGTTTGCATTGAAAGAACAGGTAAAAAGAAAACCTGGAGTCAATCTGACGAGTGGTCCAATACCACATCATTTCTACAATATGCCTCAGTTTACAGTATATTGTGTACAGGAGATGCAGGTGATCTGGAGTACTGAACATTTACATAGCCTACTTAAATCACTAAAATCAAATCAGAAAAAAACCTGGCTTTTGGAAGTTATTTACCCCACTGTAGCTGATTACTGTGGTTTTGCAGTGGTACTGTAAATACAAAATTTGACTTGGAAATGTAGAGGACATATTGAGAATTTTCACGAGTTTTGCTGCTAAGCTTGACAAGTCAATGTTTAGTGATGATTGCTTGCTTGCTTGCTTTAAATAGTGTTTCTTCTTTGTGGGATTGTAAAAGATTGTGACAAATGTATCCAACAAAAACACAGAAATAGCTGTTTCACAGCTGCAATCATTTGCTATCTTTAGTGCTGGCTCTACCCCAAGGAAACCTGTCTTGCCCTATTGATGGCCTCTAAATTTGCACACTCCTGCTTTTTAGAGTGGCACCAAAGCTAGCCTATATTTAAAACTCAAACTGAATATTTTGGAAGAAATAACTGTTGATTGATGATATAATCCAGTAGCAAGAACCGGCAAATAAGCCAAATCCCAAAAAATGCGTGAAGATTCATGCAAGATTCCTGATCCCACCGTAATACATTTCGTAAACAACTTCATTTCTACTACACAAGTCAAGATAAGGTGGTTAGCATTGCTGCCTCTCACAGTGCAGGGGCCAGGCTCAATTCCTGGTGTGCCATCTGCGTTTGTACGTTCTCTATTTTGGCCCCAGTGCGAGTGTGCTTGTGCCCTCCAATGGATTAGCCTCCAGTTCAGGGTGTACCCTGTCTTGTGCCCATTCCTTGCCAGAAGAGGATCCGGCTCCCCCACAACCCTGTATCAGATAAAGTGGTTTAATAACAGATGGATGGAAGTCAATATAAAACTGGTATCCTAAATCTCAAAAGGCAGACACTGCCCATGTCCAGTCTAGTGCTAATTACGGATAAGGATAATATCACATTATAAACATAACAAAGTATTCTAAAATGTAAACTTTAACTACCCAACTGGATTAAAATCTTCAACAAAGGGCATTACAAAATTTAGTTATACTCATCTAGATATATTTTATAGGTCTATACCAGATTTTTTATTTTCCTCCACACTAAAACTTACCACACTAAAATAGTATTTCCCTGTGGAGAAGCAACTGAATCAATACATCTGCTGGCCAACTCCCAGAAGGCCTTTGTCCACCTAAATGATGCGCTGTACTTGAAGAATGGAATAATCCGAGGACATCAATTTCGAAATCAGGCACTTAAACATGTCAGACAACAAATTATACACTCCAAACATCAGTATCTGGCAATTATTCGTGACACTATGAAAGTTCTTAGGTAAAGAAGTTTCAGAGAATTGAGTGGCATTTGCTGTTGAACAGGACTTAAGTAATACTGTCTACTGTGTGATTAATACAGATATAAAACATTAAGTAGACTAAATTACATCGGAATTTTTTTTAATGTAAAATGTTAACTCAATTCTACAATGAATTAAGGCCATTAGTAAAATACTTTCATCAATCCATTTTCTAACCACTTCATCCAATACGCGGTTATGGCAGAGGCAGAGTTTATCCCGACAAGCAATGAGCACAAGGCAGGATACACCCAGTCCATCACTGGGCTCAAAAACAAACATGCACACACTCACGCCAGGGCCAGTTTTCCCAGCAGCCAAATCTTTCCCCCATATTCGGATAGGTTATACAAACTCCATGCAGATAGCACCCTAGGAATTGAACCCAGGACAGGCACTGTGAGAAAGCCACTACACCACCATGCCTCCTTAGTAAAGTACATCACTGAAATATACTGCAGGAATATGTGACAGGGCATAACGAGAAGACCTGACCTGCCGATTCACATAGGGTAACCCTTAGTGATCTTGAAGGACTATTCGATGCCACATTAAAATATCTTGCATCTCATCCGTGATTTCACAGCGCTTAGTACCTCCACAGTACAACACTCATTTGGGTGACCTGCAGTAGTCAATATGCACCAACAGTTCAGGTAAAGAACTGAGAAAGTGCCTCACCCACTGATTTGAGAGGAAACCAGGGTTAGCACCACTACTCTTGCGCAAAGCACTATGGGTGCTCATGGGATGAGTTAAAGGTCTCTTCTGAAGGACAGTGCCTCGGATAGTACAGTTCCCTCGGTCACCGCACTTAGGGCAGAGGTTCTGGTCTGGAAGAAACAGCATCTCCTACTGGACCACAACACCACCTGCACCAGCAGCATGGCTTTTCAAGGAGGTCTCCGATCCGGGTTCTGACCCGGCCCAGCTTAGTTTCGGGTCTAATATTTGATGAGATCAGGCTGCCAGGTGCTAAAGCTGCTGTCAGAACTTGTCATTTTCCCCTGTCAAGTATTTTGTCATGTAAATGAAAGCAAAAGGCCATGCTGTGCAAATATCTTTCAGAGCGGTCTGAAGAGACATCCTAAAATCCCTCTTCCAGCTATTGGAGGGGAATCTGATTCAGAGGCATCCAGTCATAATCCCACAGATGGCAGCTTCACACCATTGGCTCCTCAGCCAAGCACAAACACCAAATGTCTGAACCTGCGGTTCCCCTCACATTGTACTGAGCAAAAGTAATCCTGCTCAGGCAGTCATCAGCATCATTATATGAAATGTACATCCTAATACCAAACACAGAAAATTCAATTGATCCAACAACGGATGGAGCCCAGGACATGCTAAAACCTCAGAGGAACTGCATCCTCGCTTGTGCTTGATTACATCCATTTCCATGCTGGCACACTAGCATCTCCATTTGAACGCTATTAGCAACCAACAAGCAATCAAGTGGTCTGATTAATTACCAAGGAAGACACAGGTATTTTAAATAGGTATTAGGTACCCTGTACCAATACCCTAAAAAGATACAATTACAGATAGACAATATTATTGTTAAGAATATGAAAAAAGCCTGATGCACAAACATAACTGGGCTTATTTAATACAGGGAAATGCAGTCCACTTGAACTGGACTCAGAAAGCTCAAATCAGAACCACTCCAGGATTTACTATCCAGAACTGCTCATGACGCTGTGAACGCACACAAAAGTCTTTGCACACAAGCTGTTGTTTTTTTGTCACAGGACATCACTTTACATTTACCTGGGAGACTTTAAAGCACCAAACAGTGTTTGCCAAGGGGGGAAATGAATATCAAAATCTGACTCTCGCGAATGATTCACTGGCAAGGAATTAAAAAAGCTGTAAGCAAAATTCACAGCTGTCAAACAAACGTATAATGAACCTCTCAGCTCACTGCTATTTTTTTTTAAAAAGATTAATTTTCTTTCATAAAAACTACAGATACAAAAAGAAGCAGTATTCTTTGGCCTAAAGATGCATTTTAATATTAAAATATCTTAGTACAAAAGTAATTAAAGTCATCTCTGCTTGGAGACCCTTGGGGATTGCAGTCATTACAAAATATTAATGGAATTTAACATCCATTATCTACAATCCTTCTACTGCAGCATTAATGTCAGTGGTCTTGCCCAAATGATTTTCCTGTTATAGGCAGATAGCATAGGCTAGATGCTTTATAGAAATATACAATAGATGTTGAACTGTTACACAAGACTCCTATTTCTGATGTCCAGCAACAATTAATGTTTTAAAACATTTTATAAAGCTGATTTTGTCTTTCTTTAAAAGCCTCTGAAGATCACAGAATCACTAAACATGCATAGATATTTTAGTGCCTTAAAAATATCACAAACCACATAAGAGACTACTAATACTGTTCAGCCTTTCTCAAAAGGCTGTGTGCAAGGAACATGGTGCTTATCCTTCAGAGCAGGCTACTGAGATAAATCCAAGATATTTGGTGGGGAGCCCTGGATTATGATAAATTATTCATATACTCTGTGAGCTAAAGACAAATCAGCCATGAAGGCAGAGCCACTGAAAAGTGGATTATTTTTCATTATCAAGCGTCTATCCTGTTTACTTTGGGACAGTGGCAATGATAACTTTGGAATATTTGTTCTAATACTTGTGAACGCCTTTCTGCAATTCTTTATCTGGGGCTGAATCTGTCCAGATTAGATGCCGGACAAATTTCTGGCTTCACGAAACCCTTTAAGTCTTCACTGTAAAGCAAAACTACTGCGTATTATAGCTTTAAAAAGGACATGTTTTTTTTTCTCCCACTTTGTCGCTAATAAAAGATCTACGGGAATATTCCAAAATCCCTTGCAAACTCCAAACGGGAAGTCCTATTTTTCTTGCTGACTCAAGCAAATACAGAAAATATATTAAAAAGTGTTTTCCCAGAAACATCTAGCTTTAATGATTCATCAGCATTATACTCCTAAGATTCTTGAGTGATTGCAAAAACAATGTCTAGTATTATAGATTTATACCACATCAAATATTCCCTATAAAATGTATTTGGAAGTGCAATACAAGTTGATCATCATTTTTAAGTGGAGATCTGCAAAACCCACCCATAAACTCTTTAAATATAATTTTAAATCTAATTGTATATAAAGAATCGTTACAAATCACGCAAGAGGGCGCTTAATTTCATTTGTGAAAATAAAAAAAAATTGTTTCAGACAATCGCACGCAACCTAAACTATCGGATGCTTTGCAATAATTGATCCTGTCGGTTAAAAACAAAAAGGTGGGGAGTACATTAACCAGTAACTTCTAATGCATCAGACTCCATGTTGTCAAAAAGAACTATGCAGAAACTCGAAGGAAGTCGAAATAAACGACCTGTACTTTTGACTCAGTTGTTTACGGTTTACTCGGCTCAAAACTGGGAGCGGAATCAAGGTAATTCTCAGAAATCCTACCAAAGCAGAATTCATGTCCTTAAGTTTCTTGCGACGGGAGGTCATGAGGAATAACAGTAAAACGCCTGCGGTTGCTCAGTTAGTGGAGAAATACGGAAGGTTGTACGCTCCCTTCTCTGGTGAGGCTTTCTCCTCGTCAATATTATCAAGGAAATGCTCTTCCACACCCTTTGCAGAAAGTTTTGCTGTCGAGGTAGAGGTGAACACCACTCAGCCGTCTTCTCACGGCCGTCGGACAGACCTCCGCAACCCCTCCTTTGTTAGGACACAGCTGCGGTAAACGAGCCGATGTGAAAGTTGACATACAAGCGGCAGCAAAGCTGTTCGGCTGCTGTCGCGGTTCGACACAAAGAGGACCGTGCGAGACCGAGCACAACTCCCCCCGTTTTGTTTCGGGGGAAACATGCCGAGGCAGACTGGAGAGGGTGTCAAAAGCGACTTGGGAACAAGTACAGAATGGAGTGACGGACCCGAGACGAATCAAACTGCTGTTCTGACAGGCATACGATTTTTTCTTTCTTACATTAGTTGGCAGCGGTCATTTTAGGTTGCACTCCACGTAACTATCGAGGGGAAAAAAAACATTTAATAAAATCGAAACGCCCGCATGCACCGACCAACAGAAAAGGGAATAACAACGGATTCGACTTGACATCTGTCAGCGCTCATTACCCTGACATCCGTCACCAGCGACACGGTTAGCCCGTCTTACCCAGGTAGTTAATCCTGACGGCATTAGGATGATCGAACCCGATTGAGCGCTTCCTCACATCCCAAAGCAGGTTATCGGAGCAGGACATGGTGCTCAGACCCCGTTCCTTCCAAAAATATCATTGAAGGCGCTTGTCACCCACTCCTCGCGGTTCGCCTCTGCCTCTGGGTTCGAGTAAGTCGTGCTGGTGCGCGTTAAATCATCCCCCTTTGCTCCAACTCCCTGTCCCGCATCGCTACCTGCGTCCTCGCTGGCTGTTTGTTATTTACTTCTCTCCCAGCCTCCAACCCCCTGCCAACCTCCCGGCCAATCAGCGCCGCCGCTCAGAAAACGCGAGAACCCGCGGCGTGACGACAGAGGGGGGTTTTCTTATTTTTAAGTGACGTCAGGGGGTGGGCGAGTTAAAGGTCTGCGCCGGCGGAGTCACTCGCTCGCGTGGCCCGACGAAAGCTCGAAGCTTTCCGCGAGCAGAAAACAGCGCCGAGGCAGGGAGTTCGATTCGGCAACTTCCGCCGTCCTCGCCGGCGCGGGTAGTTGTGGGATATGGCGAGTTCCGGAGCGCCTACGAGCCCCCGTCTACTCAATTCGTTATTCCTTCGGTCGAGATTTCCCATTTTTTAAACCAGTAGGTTTAAAGAGATGGATTCGCAAAACTGTATATTTTTTTAACAATGGTGCGAAAAAAGCAATACTATCTGTGTGATCACGGCGAGATTCAAAAAGAAGAAGCAGACCTTGATGCAGTACAAGCTCGGTGACCACAGCTTGGCCATAAAAAAGGGCAATACAGGCAAAGCTGTCAGCCCAGAAAGCGCAAACTGTGCTCTCACTGCTAGCAGAGAAGAAATAGAGACGGATATTCTCTTATCGCTGCACTGCAAGACATACCTGGGTGATAGAGAATCATTCTTCCCCCAAATAACACATGAAATTCCCGAATATCCACACATGTCGGAATCAGAACAGCTTTCAGTTGTACTGGAGGTATAAATAAATTAATAGAGCTGGCAGTCCGCTATATGGTTTTCATTCAACAGGCTGCAGGACAAAATCTTAGTCTTGGATACTAATGTAAATCTCATAAATCTTTATACGCGTCATTGTTTACATTGTTGTTTTGGCATCACTGTGAAATTGTTGAACAAGCATGATTGTTAGTACACGAAGGCGAATCTCATAATTTCTACTGTTTTAATCAATAGTTGTTGTATTTTCGGAGAGCTTAAACCATGACGACCCTGTACCGCAACTCCCCACATCCCAAAACTACCTGCGCCGGCGAAGACACCCATTTCACTGAAACCAGTGGTGTTCTGTCTGAAGCCGCATTTCTCAACCTGTTTTGAACCAAGGACTAGCTCCTTAAGGTCCTCTTCATTTGGGGCTAAAAATAAAACCATGGACGGAAAGAATAGTGTATTCACTCTTTATATCTGTCTTTCTCAGTCTCTCCAACGTCACGGTCAAGACCGGTCAGCATTGCCCGTGGACCGGGAGGTTAGAAACATTCAATTAAATGACCAAGTTTCTTTTTTTTTTGCTACTTTTAAGGTATGTTTGTGAAAAGGAAATTCGGATTTGGTTCACACGAAATTCAAAAGGTCTGTTAAGAAAATTACAAGTACTATTTGAGTGTATATCATGTACATAGTGGCCACACTTGTGAAGTGGGGAAAGTCTGGAGTTTGAGATTTTTTTCTGCTGTCATCGTTTGTGGGCGGTGCTGTCCTTCGCACCAATCACCTGAGGGGGTTTGGCCGAAGTCCACCAATCAGACCCAGGAGGACCGGCACATTTAAGTTTGCTTGCACCGCGCTCAGCGCTTTCTGTATTGTACTCCTTAAAACCCTTTCGCCTTTTGTGGTGCAATTGCACTGCCTCCTGCCAGTAAGAGGAAGCGCAAAGGACGAAACGGAGGGCTTGTCGAGTGGGAAGGTCGAAAGTAGGACAACAACAGCCGGGGAAAATAAGCCATAGACCGCGTTGTTCCGCCGCTGAGCATATCGTTTATTCTGTTAAAAGGGTTACTGTTCTGCTGGTGACATTGCCGTCCAGTTCAGTGTTTTCTGCACAGGTCGTTTCATTTTCCGTTTGTAACTGAATATCAGAAATGGCTGCTATGGGACTGCGTGCTTCCTACTTCAGGATGCTGGACAAAATCGAGCTTATTTTGCCAGCTAAACTAAGACCTGTGTACAACCACCCTGCAGGTAATGATTTCTGATCTCAACGCCGTTGTTAACAACGTTGTTTTGGTTTTACAAGCATCACGGATGGATGTGGGGAAGTGGGTAACACTGATGTGGATCGGTGCATCTACCAACCACAGCGTAAGACTGAATTGAGGTGTCTGCTCAAGTATTGGGTTAGGCTAGTTACTGTACACTTTGCATGTAAATAGCTCAACGCTCAGGCTAAAGGTTTTACATGAGCTAAAGAAAAGTAAGCTGTGTAAAACAAGAATAACCTGTTGTGTTTCTTACAGCTCTGCATGAGATTGCATTGTTATAGGACGTCTTTGAAGTTCTTCTTTTATTTTATACCAGTAATACAAGTCACTGTTTCAGGTATTTCAGGCATCCACTTGAGGGAATAACTGTGTCGTACTAATCTACATTAATTGTTGTTGCTTTGAAACAGTGTTTGTAGTTTAATCAGCTTTATACCTGTACAGTATGTGCATTAATGATAACTGCAAATCGCAACACTATCGATATTCAAAGTACGTGTGGTTGTTTTATCGTTGAACAATTAAGTCTCTACGACGTTATTATTCTGGCGGAATTTGTGACCGCGATATATTGCTGGACTCTAAAATTAGGTTAATGTAACCGGAAAAAAAAGGAGTTTGTTTTCTGAAACATTTTTTTTTAATTAATTTGTTTTATGAGGCAGGTGAACTGCTTTTCATTAACATTTGCTTCGATTAAACTTTGTTTGACCACGGCTGGGTTCAATAAGAAAGCTATAATCGACAGTTTATTGAAAGCTTTTAAAAAAGTAACCTTAAAACGATTTCAAACCTATGGAAAACATTCAATTTGTAAATGCATTCAAGATATTAATACCTTGAAGCTATCAGCTATATAGTGTAAAATCTAAAACATAATTTTATAACTTGATCTTGTTCAAAAGATACATTTATACTGCATTCTATGAATGGGCCCACTGTGTTACAACCCATTTCATGACGTATTTGTGAAGGTGTCTATCCCTATGCATTATTAGAATTGTGTTTCAGTAAACCTATGTGAAAATGTTTAAATGCAAAAATTGCTTTAGAGTTCTAGATTTGTGGAATAAGCACTATTATGTCAGCAGTGCAAAAGGCTTAGACATTTTGTAACATTTCTACTTAAAAAAAGACAAAACACTGGAAACAACCCAGTTCTCTATAGCGATTACTGTATTTGCAGCCATTGTGATGCATGTTTTGTGTACAAACCATATATTTTTAGATGTATGGCTGTGTGGTGGGGAACAGTTACTTAATTGTAATGGATTATTTACTACAACACTTCATATCTGCTGCTCATGGGTAGTTTCACCAGGAATTATGACTGCTAAATGGTAGTCATACTTTTTTTTTGTAGCCTAACCTCAGCTGTACTAATAAAGTTACACTTATAATAGTAGAAAATATATTTGTTTTAGTGAGCATGGCAGATGCTCATAACCTACATACAGTATATTGAAACTGCTGAATGTGTCTGAGATGTCGCAGACCTCAGCAGTATGTATAGTGTATAGGACTGTAACAGAGGAATTAAGAAGCTGCCTATTTGAGAGGTGTTTTGTCCTTTCTGCTTAGATGCCATTTGTATTGTTTGTTTTCAGTGGGGCAAGGGGCAGTATCTCTCCTAGAAACATGCTGCATGGGTATAGAGTTACTAACAATCTTATTGACTTGATAGAATTAACATATTACTTCAGTAAAACGGATGGGGAAAAATCACTTTAGGTATTGTCTGTTCTATTTTATTTTGTTGTTTGTGCAGCATTATTAAAACTGATCTCTGACATACCTCAATAATATTGATCATCTTGGTTAACCTGCATTTTCATATTAATACAAGATCTATACTAATTCTGTGCTTTTTGATATCCCTATCATTGTAGACTGACCATCTGTTCCTTGAATCAAGTTGTTTTAAAAAATCTGAGGCACCCACAGTTAAGAATGCTCTTTTAACATTTTAGATTGAAAATGGTTATGATATTCTGCTACTCTGTGTTAGATAAGAAATTTTCAACTGCCAATCTAAATGTAAAACAAACATGAAGTACATAAAAAAACATAATTATTTTAAATAGTATTATAGCTTAATGGAAGAAAATCTGAAGTGCGTAACTCTAAATTATGTCTGTATTGTAATTCTAATATGTTAAAATAGACCCACTCATCCACAGATTGACCGAAAGTGCTATTGTTTTAAAACCGACTGTGAAAGTGTTGATTATACACACTTCTAAACCAGGCATGAAAAGTTTTGTTTAGTTTTCTACTTTCCAAGAACTGTCTGCAGCCCTGTTGGGGAAAATGTCTCTTAACCATAGTGCAGGATAGCTAAAAATAAATTTGACCATATGTGAAATTGTCATTTGTAAATCAGAATCCAGCTTCCTCCATGTTTAAAATTAATTTAGCATCCTCCTTACTGTCCCCCAAGCCCGTCTACATTGCATGGGCAACAGGGCCTTCTCCTGTTATGCCCCCAAGCTCTGGAACTCTTTGCCCAAGGATATTAGAGAGTCACCTTCTCTAAACTCCTTCAAATCCAGACTCAAAACCTTTACTTAACTGGTTCCATTCTTTACCCCTCTGCTCTTCTTAATACCA